GCCCCCTTGCTGAGAGACAGACCTCCCTCCTGCATTGCCCCCTTGCTGAGAAACACCCCCCCTGCACTGCCCCCCTGCTGAAAGCAGACCCCCCCAGCCTACACTGCCCCCCATGACAGACAGACCCTCCCACTGAGATGCACTGGTCCCCTGCTGAAAGACAGACCCCTGTGACATTCCCCTCTGGTGTTATCCAGACCGGTGATCTGCTAGGTCACTCCAATCCTTGACTCTGGGAGGCAGCCTTACCCTGCTCTGCTGTGAGAACCCCCACTCCTGGGCTGTTCACACACAGCCTCTGACATGTAACCTGCTCCTTGGATCATGCAACCGAATGACACTAGTCAATATCTCCGGTCCCAGACACAACCCTAGGAACCTCCATCTTGCAGTGTCCAGTTATGCCCGCTGGACGCTGCAAGCTTATATGAGATTGTCATTTTAACAAAGAAATCGTTATGTTCCAGGCTTGTTATCCCAAGGGGAGTGTCTGACAGACTTCAAACCAAAAGCTCTGCTTCAGGTAGAACAAACAAACCCATTTAGTAACTATAAAGATAGATTTTTAACTGATTATAAGTCAAAGCATAACAAGTCGGTTTGGTCAAATGAAATAAAAGCAAAATACATTCTAAGCTGCTCTTAACACTTTCAGTGCCTTTACAAACTTAGATGCTTCTCACCACAGGCTGGCTGGGTGCCCTTCAGCCAGGCTATCCCCTTTGATCAGCGCTTCAGTCGCTTGGTGGTGATGTCTGTAGAGGTAGGTGGAAGAGAGAGGAAGAGCATGGCAAATGTCTCTCCCTTTTATCATGTCCTTTCTTCCCTCTTGCCCCCCCCTCCCCCCCTTCAGAATCAGGTGAGCATTACCTCATCGCAGTCCCAAACTGACCAAAGGAAGGGTGGTGACTCGAGAGTTCAACAGATCCTTTGTTGCTGCCTAGGCCAGCATCCTTTGTTCCTGTGAGGCTGGGCTGGGTTTGTCCCATACATGCCTTGATGAGGTGTGAACTGCCCTCCTGCATGTTGGCTGGCCTTTTGGGGAGCGGTTTCCCAACCCCAGGATTGTACATATGCAAAAAATCCAGCTCCCCTTTTGGGGTTACCCTGTGTTTACCCCTCCCAGCACTGAGTCCTTCTCTGCCCCCTAGAGGGCTGTGATCTGTGCTCTCTGGGCTAGGTGTGTTTACCCTTCCATCAGATTCGCCTTTTCCCAGCAGCTTTCCCATAACTGCTCTCTGTGCCTCACCAGCCTGGGGGAAAATACCCACCCCCTCTCTGCCAGCTGGGCATTTGTGTTCTAACAAATTACTACCTGGCAATTTCCTTGTCTCAACTCCTCTGCTATCACAGGCATTGGAGCTGCATCTTGATGTAAAGAGACACAGTTACTTTCCACAAACTTATCAGAAATAGCATCCTGAAAAACTGGGACCTGGATCGGGTACCCTCCGCCACCCCTTTCTCTGTCCCTGAGAAGTCAGCTGTGTCACTGCTCCCATCCAGGAGGTCAGGTACACGGTTCCTTCTCAAAACCTGGGTCACAGGCTGAATGCCTGGGTGCACAGATGCTGACCCAGCCATCCTCCTAGTGTCCTGGGCATCCTGCCCCAAATGACTAGTGAGGAGACATTCCTGTACCCCCACTATTCCTTCCCCAGTTTCCTCCTCCGGGCCCCCTCCTAAGACACATTTCTCTGTGCTCCCTAGGAAGGGTTCTGTCTCTTGTTCAGCTGCAATAATCTGCCAGCTAACAACTGGGACAGTTTCCTTAATCGCTGACAACACCTCTCCTGCCTGTGTGTCTGAGGGCATGTTGCCTTCTGCTGGAAAGGAGCTAGTCTCTGCTCCCTAGAGCCGGTTTTGCCTCTGGTTCAGCTGCGACCTGCTGGCAGCTAACAACCTGGACAGTTCTCTCCCTGGCAGGCATTACACCCCCATCCCTTCCTGATGTCATGCTGCCCCCCAACTGCAGTGCAGGAGTTGGTCTCAACCACCCTCCCACCTGGAAGCATGTGGCTTCCCCCAGCTGTAGAAGAATCAAGGAGACTCTCTCCCCATTTTCTCAGCAGTTCCTGAGACCTGACCCTTTCCCTCGGGGGTCCCAGCATGAAATTCCCTCCTGCTGCAGGCAAATACTGAGCTACACAGAAAAAATCATTACCAAGAAGCAGGTCGACTGAGAGGTGTTCTATTACCCTCACAGTCAAACCACTTTCCAAACCACATAGATTCTAGCTAGTGGTACAAGGAATCTGCTTTCACCCACCCCCATAATCTCTGCCATTTGGCCAGGCAACATACTGGCCTTTGGGACCACACTCTGTGTAACCATAGAGATCGGGGGCCCTGTATCCCTCTGCCCCAAGTATTCCCTTCCATCAATTTGGACAGCCTTAACATGCTCCATATCTGGCTCTGCAGAGGCTAATCTCACAGAACCAATATGACAGGTTTCAATTGCTTGTGGGGTTTCTGTGTTGAGGACAGCAGAACTAACATGAGCTGTTGTTTGCCTGCTTCCTCCTAGCACAGGACATTTATTCCTCAGGTGATCAGTGGGATTACACTGATAGCACCTTTTGGGCTCTTCTGCTTTTACAGGAGATTTGGGATGAGGGTTAGAGGAACGTCTTTGGGTAAGAGAATGTTTAGGCTCCCAATCCCCTTCTCTCTTCCCAGGGGCAAAATGGGATCCTCCCTTCCCACCAGTTTTAAACCCCTCAGTCTGTGGCCTGCCCTTAATAGACGCCTGATTCTGTTCCAAGGCATCAGCTAAAAAAGCCACCTCGTCCCCAGACTTTACATCTTTGTCCCATAGACGCTGCTTCACATCAGCCTGACACACGCGTAGGAAATGCTCTTGAGCAACAAGATCCAAGATTCCCTCACAACTCGCCACTCTTTACCCGGCCTGCACTGCCTCTTCGCTGAGAGTCAGACATACCCCCAGCCCGCACTGCCCCCCAGTGAAACGCAGACCCCTGCTGCCTGCAGTGCCCCCTGCTGAGAGACAGCCCCCCCCTGCACTGCCCCCCTTCTGAGTGACAGACCCCCATCCTGCACTGCCCCCTTTCTGAGCGACAGACCCCCATCCTGCACTGCCCCCTTGCTGAGAGACACACCAGCTGCACTGCCCCTGTGATAAATTAAGGGGAGGGAGGGTAGCTCCCTTTTATGCACAGCCAGCCAGCCAGTTAACTATGAAGTCCCTCTTGGTGTCTGTTCTCCGCTTTTGTGAGCTAAAACCCACTTCACCAGATGTGTGGAGTGGAACATACAATAGGGAGGTGTAAATACACAGCACATGAAAAGATGGGAGTTGCCTTACCAAGTGGGGGGTCAGTGCTAATGAGCTAGTTCAATGAAGGTGGAAGTGAGCTATTCTCAACAGTTGACAAGAAGGGGTGGAAATCACTTTTGTAGTGCTAATGAGGCCAATGTAATCAAGGTGGCCCATTTCAAACAGTTGACAAGAAGCTGTGAGTCTCAGCAGGGGGAAATTAGTTTTTGTAGTGACCCATCCACTCCCAGTCTTTATTCAGGCCTAATTTGATGGTGTCCCGCTTGCAAATCAATTCCAGTTCTGCAGTTTCTCGTTGGAGTCTGTCTCTGAAGTTCTCCTGTTGAAGAATTGCCACCTGCAAATCTGCCATTGAGCGTCCAGGGCGATTGACGTGTTCTCCTACTGGTTTCCAAATGCCACAATTCCCGATGTCAGACCCGTGTCCACCCTCTCCCCTGCATAGAGACTGTCTGGCTTGGCCAATGTACATGGCAGAGGGGCATTGCTGGCACATGATGGCATATATCACACTGGTGAACGAGCCCCTGATGGTGTGGCTGATGTGGCTATGTCCTATCAGTTTAACCCCTTTTCAGTTGCTCTATAAAATCTAGCAATAGCCTGATTTTCCAGATGTGTTCCCGTCCTTTTTTTTAAATAAAATTTACCTTTTTTAAGAACCTGATTGGTTTTGTGTCTTAAAAGGTTTGTGCATATGTTTTTCAATTAGCTGGTGGAAATG